CTTTGAGGTTTCCCATTAAGAGCTCCTTAGGGTTATTAGTTCTGTTACCAAACAGAGTTCAAGGGAAACATCTTTATCCACTTTAAATCACATACCCATTTTTAAAATTGGAACATGTTAACTTAAACAATTTTTTTTAAGGTTAGGTTCTCAATTCAACTGTATTTTAAGTCTACATTGTGTCTGTCTAACTGATAGGTACACAATAGATAAATAATTTACATGTGGAATCAGTGCATGGAAAGATACAGAGGAAGGACTCCAAGACTCCCGCACTTCAAAAAATGAAAATAAATGCTCATCATCTGCTTTTAATAAAGAAAGCTATTGATTGAACCAAGACACACAGCTAGTACTTCACCACCATCTATAATCTGCATACTTAACAAAAAATGTTGCTGAATGTGGCTATTGATAGGAATTTAGAGCCTATCAATTTAGTAATTTACAGATGACTGCATGGAAGCAATGCAAGGGAATATTTTTTAAAAGTTTCTAGATTGCTCCTGAAGTTTGGAGACCATGTCTTTGCTCCTGAAGTTCTCATTGTGCACAGAAGGGATCAAATCTCACCTGAAATTTCACCTGTGTACCTAGCAACAAGAATCCCAAGGACTGATCCCCGGGAGAGGGGCCAGCTTGCAAAGAACCAATTACATCAATGTTATTTACTTTCTGAACTCCCTAACATGCTGGTCACATTCAAAGTGCCCACCAGAAATGGTACCTTGCCAGCTCCTGAACAGGCCAAAATCTGTGCCAGCAACTGTTCTAACAACCAACTGTACAGATGACTGAGCTACAGTGTCCCAGAAAATTTCCTGGCACTACCAAGTTTAGTGACACAGATGTAGTGTGACAGGCATAACATTAAGCCTTTAACATACTCATTTTGGTCTCAGCCAAAAATGCGATTCAACTTTTTTTAACCACCTATTTTAGGATGAAACAATCTTTCAATTAGCTTTTGTTGCTCTAACTCTTACTAAAAGAGGCATCTGACATCTCACAGCATTGTGGCTATTAAAGCAAGAGCAAAGCATGGATTTTTAAGACATTTAGCCTTGGAAGCATATTAAATATAGTACTAACAAAACTGAAGCATGGTCTTTGCAAATAAATAACGTATTTTATGTGTTTTCTTGTCAAGTGCTTTTCTTCTCTTGATGATCCAATAAAAAACAAGGTTGAAAACTCTTATTTTTTAATGCACACTGAATTTTATACTGTCGTGTAACAGTAATAATCCTCATGAAAAACCCTGGAGTTAAAGGAATTGTTGCTCCCCCTTTTTTTTCCTCAATCCCAAGATGAAGATGTTGTAGTATGATAATACCTTGAATAACCTTTGTATAATATCCCTGAAGAGTAACTGAGACTTCAGGGTAATAAAGAATGATGTAAGCCAAAAAGTTGTGCAAACAGGCAGAATTTGACTTGCGAAATGAGCATGAACAGCAACAACAGGTAAACATAAACTGCTTTGGAGTTGGAAGGAGTTTGAAGAATGGATGTATGGATTTCCAACACCTCCACATGAATTTACTGTGTATCAGCACATTCAAGATTAAGTTGTGGGGATAATTATCATAGACACAGATTCCATTAAGGTTTTAACAGTAGTTTTCCAAGACTTTAAAGTCCTGGAAATGACGGCAATTGCTCAGTATGCACATAGGTGGCACAACTATGTATTTTATCATTTCACTCTTGAGGTAACTTTAGTTTCATTTAGCTCCTTCAGGTTTCCATGGCCATTTAGGACTAGTTCAAGCTACCAACTACAAATCTAGCACTAATGGTAGTCCCTAAACCATTATAGTAATTCAGAAAAATAGTGCCTCACAGTTTAAAGGGTTTGCATCTTGTGATTATTAACTTGAAACAGGGTAACTGAATTTTGCATAGCATTATTTTTTAGTATCAGGATGTTGTGAAGTAATAGGTCTTTCATAAAAACAGTGTAATGACTTTCCCTTTCCAATACTTCTCAGTCTGAGAATTTTTTTCAATTTGCCTTTTCTGTTAATTCAATTACATTAAATCAAGTGAATTAAACTACGTTACAAATATTGGCAGTTCAGTATAGTGTATCAGTATAGTAAAATATTGGTTGAACACAATACTCTAAATAAATCTAGACTTTTTTTGTTTGTTTGTTTATTTTGTACAACTCTCACTGATCTGTCCAAGAGTCAGCTCTTACTTTCATACCCTTTTTCT